TCCACACCACATAAATCTCCCTGACAGAGGGATGTCTCATCAATGACACACCGGGTAGAGCCATACATACCAAGGGCTGCATGCTAGTCTGCCTTTTACTCTTGAAAGCTGAAGAAAAAGGCTGCGCTTCTGAGGTTTGGGTCAGTGCCACATGGTCAACAAAGCCCCTGTTTCACTGTAAAAGTGGGATTAAGAATTCATTAAACACACAGGGATACACTGTTGTGTGACAGTGGTGGGAGCTCTGTACCTTAATGGCCCCAGCTTGTGCTGACAGATAAGCTGAGCTGAGTTGCTCTGGTCCAGGGGCTCCATCCACTTCTTCCCTCTGAATGAAACAGACTGTTATTCTTTCCAACAGGCCATACAGTAGTCCTGTCCATCATTAAAGCTATGAATGCTATGTCTCTGCTCTTGGACTGGCTCCCTCAGGGGTATATCATTGCTTTACCCTTTAATCTGAGCAGATTTCCATGCCGGGGTCGACTATATAGGGTTCTGTTTTTAGTACAATGAACAATTTGCTCATGTTACCTTTCAAATGGTGTGCATACCACAATCTTCCCTCATTTGCAATCAAATATTGTGATTTCAGGTGTTTAGTGAAATGCAAGTAAGTGGTTAAGATGAACTTTGCACAGCATGTTTTGCATGTGTTCTTTTTATTTCTCCTAGATGACAATATTGCAGCAGTGGAAGGCACCATATGTATTTTATGTGCTTGTATGACGAGGGATTCGTTCAGAAACTACAGCTCCGCTGGCAAGAAAGATGAGAAGAAATCATGCCTCCAAGCCGCTTCCTGCTATTTTGGAGGTGGATTTCTTCTTCATAATACCCCCATTAAACTGTGGGCCCTAAATACAGGCTAGTTTCTTAGATAATTGGTATATTCTCTTTGATTCTGATTTGAACAACCTTGTCAAAGTCATTTATATGCAGTGGTTTTCCTCAACAGTGATGCGATGAATTGCAAAGCAGCTGTCAAATTGGATTCTTCATGCCGAGAAAGAGAGCGTCAATGAAAAATATTCCAAGTTTGTATAATTACACATGAGCATGTATCAGCATGTATGCACTTGTAACAGAAAGACAAGAAAAGCCTGTTTGTTTGGAAAGCTGCACTTGTTGCATTCCCCGCCCTGGGGAAGAGGCATATGAGTTGGGCTGGGATTACTCGTTTCCATCCATCATACAGACTGTAGCGTTCCGTCTGTTTGCTATAATTGGTCATCCATCTGTCAAGCCCGGCTTCTCCACAGACGGAGCATGAATGGTCAGTCACCATTGGAAGCCAGCTGCAAATGTTTTGAAACAAACTGACAGAAATAAGAAAATAACCACGAGCTAACTGCCTTGTGCAGAGAAAGTGAGTGAATACATTTTTACAGCATCCACGGCATTAAAATATCGTTTAGTGATAACCTTAATATCCTTTGTTGTTTGAGTTTATTAAAGCTGGAACACAATGGCTTGTAGACAACTCTGAGTGTGAAGTCTTTGTATTTGCATGCGCACAATGTTTATTTTCTTACTTGCTGCTTTGAGCTGAAATGTCGTTTCTGTGAACAGCTCTCCTCTGTGTCCCTCTTTGAAAGTGCTGTTACTTTCTTTAGAAAGCTGAGATGCAGCATTGACCCCTCTTAGAGAAGAAGAGTGTTGCTGTAGTATCGCGGCCCCCCTCCTCTTCCCCCGCCTGTCACTTCAGACAGCCGCTCAGTTGAGAGGCTCTCTCAGATCAGCACTAAACTCTCTCCTTAGTCCCAGGAAGTGTTGGAGGAAGCACTCTCAGCCTAGTAGGCTTTTCTTAGACTCCCAGGTCTCATTGCATATTCATAGCCCCTTCCGCAGCAGAGGGTATTAAGTTTAAAAAAAGAAAAACATACACCTAAAGCTTTAATTATTTACTGTCATGTTGTTAATATGATCATTTTTAGATTTGCACATCGTTTAAAGACTTTTTTTGGATGTGTAGACTGTGAAGTATCGCTCTTGACTTTGACTTCTCATGAGCTCAAACGGCTAAAACACTTTTGCATTTGTCTTCATTGCCACACAAATAATGCAAAGACACTTACAGCTCTAAGTGGGAAATTGAGAGGCTGCAGTTTGTCATCAGATGGCACAGCATCGCACATGTGCTTTATTGTGAGTGTGAGCAAAAATGCAAGGGCTAGAACATTTGTTTTAATAAACTGTGAAGGAAAAATAAGAGTCATCATTTTCAGTGTTAAATGTGATGTACCACAAAATGCCAGCATTTTTTTTGTGTGTGAGGAGATTGTCCTTCTGAAAGAAGACACTAATCACCATAGCTGTGTTAACACAACTGTCTTGTGTTGAACATGGCTCATAAAATAGAAAAATGAGAAGAAAATGCAAACAAGTTGCTGATTATGTACTTCCAAATAAATAAAAATGATTATTGGGTTTAATAATGCAAAGCTATGTTTTTGCAATATTAAAATTTGTTTTAAAAGGTTTTTGGTAAAGCTACAAATTGTAGCTTGTAGTTGATCAGAAAATGCTAATGACTTATTTATGCATTTTTATTTTTACACGTTAACCTTCAGCTGAGTTCATCACACAGGCAGGGCAAAGAGAGAGGGGAATGTAAACGTCTTAATTTAGTAGTTATAATGTGGAGCTTACACTTTTTCCAGTAATAGTTTTTAATTACAAACTTGAACCGTTTCATTTTCAGACTCATGGTTTATACTTTCATGCTGATGGAGATCGTTTGTCTTGTCGGGTGGAAAAAATAAAATAATCACATTGTAAACAAGTGGCCAAAAAAAAAACAATAAATGAAATGATTCCTGCAGTTGGATTCAGGAACGAGACCCTCTGCACCCTGTCCTCCTGATTAATAGTCAACATCTCTTGCTGAGCAGCCATGCCCTGGCGCGGTTGGGGGTTCAGCCTGAGAAGGAGGCAGTGGCTGACAACAGTGAGCTATGTGCTGCTCCGCTCCATGGGAGGTAATGCATCGCTGTGGCCGCCAGCACTGAAGTGTAGACAGCAGGAGGAAGAAGAGTGATCAGTCTTTCAGGATGATGTTGCTACTGCTTGTCCAGCACGTGGGCCGCTGATGAC